TATGAGTCAGAACTGACTCGACAGCACCTAACAACATATATATGTATATATATGTGTATATATGTGTATATATGTATATCTGTATTTACATGTGTATTTGTTTTGCCAAAAATGGTATGAAGTTTTTGCTGTACATACTATTCTGTAACTAATTTTTTTTTTTCAGTCATGTTGCATTTCTTCTCATTTAATACTATGATCATATTCAGCTTCATCTAATTGACTCAGCAATGTGCTTTGTAGTTGATTTGCTGAAACCAGTATCAATCCAGGACTATACATTGTACCTGGTTGTCAAGTCACCTTTGTTGTTCTTCATGGTAGTTGACTGGTTGTTTGCTGTTGGTGTTGCTTGGTTGATTTGTTTTCATAGCTATGGCTTGTTAAAGGGGCCCGGTCAGTTGCCCTAAATATCCTACCTTCTGAATTGTTTGATTGCTTCCTTGCTTTGTCATTTAAATGTTTCTCTATCCCCTATACTTCTGATTAACTGGAAATTGTACCGGAAGGCTTAGTGGATTCAGTTTAAACATTTGGGCTAGAATATATATAGGTAATGTGTGTTTCATGGGCTTCATATCAAAAAACACATATTATATAGTTGACCTAACATTAGTGATACTAAAACTGACCACTAGATTAGATGTTAACACTCTGATCCCTCCATTGATAACTAGGTTATCCCCTTGCACCTAGAAAGTAATCTGTGTGTGTTACTTAAGAATTATGTTCCAGTGACTATTGCTGTGTAACAAACCACCCCAAACTTCGTAATATTTTAAAAAAAAGTCTTGTTACTATGCTTACAGATTCTGTGGGTTAGGAGTTCAGACAGGGCCCAATGGGAATGCCTTTTCTCTGCTCCTCATTATCTGGGGCCTCAGCTCAGAAGACTTGAACAGTTGGGGGTGAATCAAAATGGCTGGAGGTTGACATCATCTGAAGGCTTCCTCATTCACATGTCTGGCACCTGAGCTGGAACGGCTCAAGGTTGAACTCTGCTGGGATTGTGCACCGGTGCACCTGCATGTGGCTTGGGCTCCTCACAGCATGGCAGCTGGGCTCCCAGCGAGAGTACCAAAAGCAAGAATTTCAAGAGAAATAGGCTGAAGGGGTATGGGCTTTTGTGACCTAGCCTGGGAAATCACCAGCAATACCTCCACATTTTGTTAATTACATACAGGTCACTAAGGCCGACCCAGATTTAGGGGGAGAAGAATTAGACTCCATGTCTTGATAAGGGAGTGGCATAGTCACAGGAGAAGGCACGTGGGATGGGAGAGATTGTTGCAGCAATCTGTGGAAAGCACAGTGTGCCGCAGCATAATATTCCCCATCATACATTTACTTAAGAGCTTTAGTAACAGTTGCTAATCTTTACCAGAATCAGTCATTTCATTATGATTTGCAAAGCGATGTTTTTATAATTCTATCATTCCTTTTGCATTTATTAGTTGGCATTATCTTGTAAAGTAGAACTTTCTTTCATTGACTGGGGCTATTTAGTTACCCTAAAATTCATTTCCTACTGGAAAGACAAGATAATTGCTTGATTCTTTTCCTTTAGTTACTAATTTTCACAAGTTATTTTAAAAGCTGCCTCAAATGGTAACAAATGAGTTTTTCCATTCTTCTGCTTTTTGAATATCATAATGAACTCATGAATTTTCATTGATTCAGTATGTGATTTCATTGATTAGATTCACTGTAGTCGTCATTCTTTTTGATAATGAAATTGTCCCAGTTTGTCCTTGGGTCCATTTGACACCCCCCATTAATCTACCCCTATTAATTTTGACAGCTTTCTTTCTAGCCACCTCAAAGTTTGTGAAAGAATTGCCTAGACTTGAGCTCCACCCATCTAGTTCCTACCCATCCCTAATGACATTGCTCACCACATTTGATTTCCCTTTCTTAAATTTTCAGACTCGTTAACCGCTAACATTTACTGTAGTTGATTACTTCCTTTTTTCTTGAAAGCCTCTTCTACTTTGATTCTCATGATATATCAGCGTTCTAGTTCTCTTCCCCCTCTTTCTTTGTTCCCTTTTCCTCTTCTTATCTGAATATAGATGTTTTCCAAGTTTTAGGCAGTGGCCATCCTTTCTCTCTACAGTATCTTTTCAGGTGCTCTCATATATCCCTGTAACTTCAGAATCAGCTGTTAGTCATAATTTGACCATTCTAAAGCCTATTTCTGTTTCTGACCTCACGTTCTAGTATGATTTTCACTTTTCCAACTACCTACTTACATCTTTACTCAGAAGTCCTGCCAGTCCCACAAACTCAGCCTGTCTTACCCTAAACCTCCTCTCCCTCCCTCCTTATAGGTCTTTTTAACTTTTCTGATTTCATTATTAGTGTTGCAATTCTGCTAGTCGTCCAAGTTTAAAACTTCGGAGTCATCTTTTTTTCCTCTCTCTACATCTAATCATTCATCAAGAATTGGTACAGGTATCAATTCTACCTCTGATTTATTTTTTATACTTCTTTCTTTCTCTTCCCATTGCCACCATCCGAGTTCTGGATCTCTCTACAGCTTCCTTGGACTATTATAAGAGCCTCCCAGCCAGTCTCTTTCCAGTCCGTCTCCACCAACCTAACTTCTACATTATTGCCAAGTTAATCGTCTCAGATACACCTCTGGTTGATCAATTCTTCTGGACAATAACAACAACAGGAAAAGAAAAAAAAAAAAACCTTTAGTTGGCCCTCACTGTCTTTAGACTAAAATGTAAGCACTTCACCTTGTTGGGCATGGCCTCCTATCTACTCAGCAGTTTTTCTGGGCTTGTCTTTCTATCACTATTTTGCCCTTTACTCAGGAAAACTAGACTACATTCTTTTCCACCAGTATACTTTCTTGTCTCTCTTTCTTTGTACTATTCCTCCCTTCCAGTTTCTCCCTCCTATACTGACCTACCCATCCCCCAACCCCATCTCTACCCATCCAAATCCTATTCGTTCTTCAGGCCTAACTAAAAACCGTTTTTACCATGATGCCTTCTGTTTGCCCTTCAGCCAAAAATACTCTTTCTTTCTTCTGAACTCTTGCAGCATTTTGATGCATACCTCTTTATGGCAGCTATTTTGTCCTTCCCTGTATATCGTAACCTTTTTTGAAAGCAGAAATAGTAAGTTATTCATGCTGAATTTTTTATGGCACCTAGCTCAGTGCCAAGGTATGTAGTAAGGACCAGAGATGCAAAGATAAATCAAAGATAGCTCCTGCCTTCAAGTAGCTGAATTCTAGTGGGAAGGAGGCAGCCATGCAGAGTTACAAAGTAACTTGACAAGTATTGTTTAAAAAAATAAACACACACACACACGTAGTACTGTAGTAACATAGAGGAAAGAGCTCTTAATTCCACCAGGAGGAGGGAAGGATAGTCAGGGCAGGTTTAGTGAATTTACACTGAATCTTGAGGAATGAGTAGAAGTTAAATAAGATGAGAGAACATCCCACGAAGAGGAAATGACATTCAAAGCCACAGATGCATGAAACTACATGATGCAAGCAATTCTGTATAAATAGATGTGAGGTTTTATGGAGGTTGGGAGGGTTAAGGGGAGATAACCCTGCAAAGGTATGTTGGGGCTAAATTACTACAGGCTTTGGTTTATTATATTAATGCCTTATTTTATATGCTTTCCAGTTTACAAAGCAATTTCACTTTGATTATTTGTGATTCATAATGACCCTTTTTTAGTAGGCAAAAGCTATTTTAGTTATTTAATTCTCTATAGTTTTTAGTTATTTTAAATGTCCGAAACTGCATTAGATTTTACTTTTCTCAATCTGGGGGGAGAGGGAGTTATCAAATATAATTTCTTACTGCTATTGGGTTATTGTTGTTCTTAGTTTTAAAATCAGAATTATGTAACTGATGTACTATCCCTACCTCCACTCCAGCCCCTAAAAAAATTAACCATTCTCTATATTTGATCAGTATAGTCTAACAGCATTTTCTGCTATCAGAGGTGTCTTATAGCTAGTTCTGTATGCTTTCATTAGAAAATAGCAAGTTAAATTCTACTCTCAAAAATAAAATATATTAATTGAAATTCTGTTGTCAGTATTATGGCTCTTTTATATAAGAAGCCTGATTATTTTATTAAAAATAGTTCCTGGTATTTTTGTAGTACTATATTTTGCCAAACATTCTTTAAAAGCTAGTTTAAATTTTTAATGGCCATTTTAGTACAATAATTTGTAAATGTTAAAAAAATAATCTGATGCTAGGATGTCTTTTAAGCATAGTGTGACATCCAACTGGTATGGAGCATCCTGTTTATAATGTGGGCCAAGCACCATGCTCTAAACCAGTTACTATCATGATGATCAGATTGAAAATGAAATTGCATTTCTGTCAATTACTGAGTTGGCAACTGTTCAATATATCTCAGCAGCAAGATGAAGAGCGACGTCGGCAGCTGAGAGAGAGAGCTCGTCAGCTAATAGCAGAAGCTCGATCTGGAGTGAAGATGTCAGAACTTCCCAGCTATGGTGAAATGGCTGCAGAAAAGTTGAAAGAAAGGTCAAAGGCATCTGGAGGTGAGTTAAAGAATCTTGTATCATATTCTACAGACAACCCAGAAATCTGCAGTGGACCTTTTGGGACTTTTTATTCTTACTTCAAAATGTTGCATCAAATACATAAAGTTTCTAACTTACTGATACGTTGCAGCAAACCTAAAGGAAGCATAGTAAATTGGACGATAACTGTTGGCTGTTTTCCAAATCGAAGTTTTGGCTTAATTTCTAGCAACTTGAGAAGTACTTTCTTAGAATATTGCTTTTTTAGAAAATTCATATAGACCTTGGTTTGTGATACAACCTGATGCCTCCTTAATTGTATTAAGATTAAATTGCAGTCAAGTCTTCAGCATCTCAATGGTGAGTTTTGGAATGAAGGATTTTCACTTTGAAGCAGATCTTTAGAAAGTAGCTTTAAAGATATTCTGGCATTACAGCCTGACATACAACAATTTTTCATTCACTGAATACAGCTTATTGTTTAATATCCTACCATTATAATTTGAGTTACAATATTTCAAAGTGAACCTCAAGATATCAGTTCAAATACTCTTGTCAGGGTTACTCAAATGAATAAGTCCCATGTCAGCTTCTTCTTAGTCTCCTAACTCTACAGGGGTCTTCCTCAGTGTCTACAGAGAGGATGATTCTAAGCATGCTGTTGGGATAAGGACTATACTTATAAACTGAAGAGGTTTAACTGTGCCTCTTAATGCTCAATGTAGGCATCTTGATTTTGGAAGCATTCTTATTTTTATTTAAGAAGATTATATCCAAGAGGTCTAAAGGTTTTTTTCTTTTTAAAGATATGTAACTATTTATCTACCAAAACATGTCAGGTACTCGTCCTGAGTTTATCTTAGACTGTGAAGATAACCCTGAAAAGTAGGGAAGTGTGGACTCAAGTAAGACCTTAGAGAGCTGAAACATAGGTAAGCTGTTTCTAGGTTAATGATAACTTTCTTCAAAGTAAAGGCAAACTTATTGCCATTATTTCTAATTGACCTCTTATATTAAAAGTTTACTGTTGTAGAGAGTTCTGTCTAATGCCTATAGTGTCTAAACTTCCATCCCATAAATTTGAAAGCTTCTGCTCCAAACAGTTATGTATCTGTCCCTCTGGTTTTATCAGAATGTTTATATCTTAGTTAAATCCTTCTACCTTTCCAACTTCTATCATTTAGGATTCCTATTGCAATTTCTATACTATTTCTTTACTACAGTTTTATATAACATCAGAAACTACTCACAGCTACATTTGCATAATGCTGTGATAATTTGCTTTATCATTAATAACAAGGTACTTATTTGATGTCATAAAAATTCTAGATTTTCTAAGTATGTCTAGCAGTCTTTGCCTCCTTTGTCTCTGGATGATAGAAAACCCTCAATTCCTTTCTCGTATTTTTCCCCCAGACAGACTGTCTTAAAGCTACTAGTGCTGCCTTCCTATGGCATCATGAAGCCATGGAGGGGAAGAGTAATAATATGGTGGAGTGCACCTAGTGTCTCTTAATTTTTTTTTTCCAATAGTATGCAGATAACAATGCTTCCTAGGTTGTAAACTCTGGGAAGGCTAAGAATGGAAACATTTTTAATTAATGGTGTAGAATGGGTCAGCTATGTAGTTGGTTCTATCTCTATAATCTAACCAGGAGTAGACTAGGCCAGACAAACTTTGTCTGTTTTAGGACCCAGAGAATAGGTAGCTTTCCTACCTGATAATTAGGGAAAGCAAAGACTTGAATTTCAGCATTCAACAGCCAACAAAGTAAAGGAGAAGTGAGGATTGCACTTGCGGAGCTAGCAAAGGAGTGCCGATTAGAATGAGAAAGCTGGGTGAGATGGAGAGGGCAAAGGGTTTGACAAACGCCATATGAGAACTGCTGAAGTGTCTACAATCTATTCCCCAAGGGTACCAAAGTGACAAAGGTCCACTTCTCCCAAGGACACACCTTACCTTGGATGCTGGAAGCAGTAACATATCTGATGCTGGGCTCTTAGAGCTGAGGTTGACCTAAAACAGATGGAGCAGGCCTATTCCCTGTCGTCCCAGGTGGTTATTGGCCTCTCTTCATAAAGATGTGTGGATGAGTCCCAGTGTGCTCTGGCCTCACGGTCTAAACTGAAGCTAGTGAGGCTAGGGTTGAAAAACGGAGAGAGTAAAATTCCTGCCTGAAATTCAACCATTCATATGCATTTATCTGTTGAGCAGTGCCCATCACTGTGATCAGGATTCAGCAAACTTCTCCTTTAAAGGGCCAAAGTAAATATTTTATGCTTTGCAGGCTATATGGCCTCTTGTCACACCTACTCAACTCTGCCCTTGTATATAGCAGGGAAGTGCCTTGGATGATATGTAAGTGAACAGGTGTGGCTATTATTTACCAAAAAAATGCAGTGGGCTTGGTTTGGTCCCTGGTCTGTAGTTTGCTGACCTTTGCATTGTAGCAAATTAGAAATTCACTTGGGTTCATAAGAGTAATTCTTAAATGAAAATGCCCCTGTGAGGTTGATAAATCAGGGGAAAGAATTAACAAATTGTCCACTTTTCTGACAACTAGTGGGAATCATCAGGTCTGAGAAAGGAAGTTTTGCTAGGGAATAGTGTGAAAGGAGGAGAGAGAAATAATTTGGGACCAGCCTAGATGGAGCAGTAGAAAAGGAAGAGTTGGAAGCAGTGGTCCAGAGTGACAGAGAAGAGGGTGTGGTAAAGCAAGGACAGAATGATGTAAGTAAAATAGTAAAGTAGAAGCACAGCCTGGGCAATATGTTGAACATGATCATCACTCAGACCCATTGCCTGAACTTACAGGAAAGCTTGCTTTTTTTCTGTTCTCAAGTAACCAGCTTCAGTGAGGACAGGAAACTTACTAAGCTTGAGGTAAGGTGTCTTAAGCTTCATAGTGTCCACAGAAAATATATGCAGGGTATTTTAGATCATGTATAGCCATGTATTTCAGCAACCCAGTTGCATCCTATTGCAACTAGACATAGCCTAATTCTTGTGTAATAACAGATTCACACCTGTCCTTGCTTTTACTTATCCTCTGTTTGACATACTTGTAGGGTTTAAGACAGAACCAGATGATATTGGGGTGTACTCAGGGCAGATTATCCAATAAGCAAGGTAAGCACAGGTTTGTGAAATTGGTCACTACAAATTAGTAAGTAAGCACAAGTTAACCGGTGCTTATGTTGCCTACTGAGTCATCTGCCCCCTCAGGGATTATAAATTTGAAAAGAGGCTTTGATTCTGTAGAAGGGTGCTGTGGGGTTGGGAAGGAGACAGATGCCAGCCATACCTAGAAGCAGAATCTCTGATGTGGTGAAAAAATGTGAAATTGTTCACTGCAGATTAGTAAGTAAGCACAAGTAAGTCTGTGCTTAACCTTGCTTATTGGATAATACCCCCAGGTGTACTGCACATATTTTTTTTCAATTTCTGCATCAGTTTGTAGTTGTAGACCTGTAATGGCATCATTTTTAAATCCTCATTCTAACTATGTCACAAATTCGTGGATTCATTTTATTGTGTTGATCCTACAAGGCACAGGCGTTTGGGGGAAGTCTGGTGTTTTGTTTTCAGTTGTATGGTTTTGTGGTCAGAGAACATGACCTGAATTTCTGTTTCAGGAATTTGTTAAAGTTTTTATTTTGGCCAAATAAATGTTAAATTTTTGTGAATGGTGTATGGGCACTTGCATATAAGGTGGCTACCTTGTTTTGCATTTTGAATAAATAAATGAAACTTTTTCTCTTTTGCCCATGATAATGGTTGTGTGCCTACATAATATGGTTTCATTTACAGCAGTTGCATTTATATAAATGTGTTGAGTCAAAATAAAATCTTATTGTCCTTCAATAATTTTTATTTTCTGTTTCTATTAATAATATATTTTATTCTAATATTTTAACTGTGTAATGGATTTCTAATTTCTTTCTGCTTTGCTAAAACCTACTGAGTTTCCAGTGGTTAACCATAAAGATTCATTTTTAATATCTAGTTTCTTAAACACACACAGAAAACATAAGTATATGTATGCATACACACATACACACACTTCAGTTCTGCTAGAGAATCCATTTAAAGCTTTTCCACAGGTTTTAAGAAATGTGCAACATTAACTGTTGAAAAGAATTCAAGGGTTCATCATAAAACTCAAGTCAGTGGATGGAAAGAAAGTAGAAATCCATTCTTAAGAAAACCTGAGCTTTGTAGGAGATCAATTTTTACTCTTGCCCTCCCAAATAGTAATCCTTTTATCTAAGGTTAGCAATACATATATAAACACTGAATTAACCTGCTCACCATTACTGGTGAGTGGTAGTGTAGACAGAGATTTCTTTTAGCTGGGAAATAAAATGAACGGCACCTGTTTAACATCACACAGGAACCCGGCACTGTATAAGTGGGTAATGAAAAGAGCCACAATTTTCTGCATATCACTGGAAACTGAAAGTACTCATATCAGACCACATTTCCAGACTTAGCAGCTATTTTTATAGCACTGCCATCTTTTTAGTTACTCAGGCTGGAGAGTTGATTTTGGCTTCTCCTTCACCCTTCCTCTCCTTAGCGTCTCACCCCCTACTACTCAGTATCCAGTCAGTTTCAAATCATGTCATACCCATTCCTGAATTCTTTTACCCCAAGTTAACCAAAAAACCCAAACCCACTGCCGCTGAGTCAATTCTGACTCATAGTGACTGAGTAGAACTGCCCCACAGGGTTTCCGAGGAGCACCTGGTGGATTTGAACTGCTGACCTTTTGGTTAGCAGCCAAACTCTTAACCACTATGCCACCAGGGTTTCCAAGTTAAGCTCTCCTTACTGCTTGCCTGGGAGTCATAAGTCTCCAACCTAGATTTCCTGCCTCCAACCTTTCTGTTCTCCAGTTTGACATCTAGGTCAGCAATTTTGCATGAAGGCTGTTACATGCATAGTACACTCCCATGTATAATCCCTAGACCACCTAGAAGAATGTAAGCAAGAGTAACAGTATAGGAACAACGTTGAAGCTGCTCTAATTTAGAAAAGACATAGGCCTCAGTGCTTTTATTACTACTAATAAATTGTTTTGTACATACCTCAGAACCGCTTACAATAAGAGTTTGGTTGAAAGCTGCTTCTATAAACTACTGTTAAATTAATCTTCTGCATCACAGTGCTGATCATGTTAGAGCCTCAGGGAGGCTTATCTTATTCTAAACAAGCCATAAAGGAGTGTTATTATTTGTTGTTGTCGTTAGCTGCCGTCAAGTCGACTCCGACTCATGGAGACCCCATGTATGCAGAGTAGAACTGTTTCGTAAGGTTTTCAAGGCTGTTTTCGAAACCTTTTGAAAGCAGAACTTCCAAGGCACCTCTGGCAGGGGTTCGAACCACCAACCTTTTGGCAAGTAGTCAAGCACTTAACCATTTGTGCCACCCAGGGACACTCTTCCATTCCTACCAAGTACAATTCAAACTTCCCAGTCTGGCCTTCAAGGGCGTCTATAGTTTTACCTTTCAAGTCCTGCCTCCCATTATTTTCCTTTAAATAGATCACATTTGAGACAAATAAGACTTTATATCATTCTCTAAACATAACCTATACTTTCCTGCTTTCATACCTATAATGTCCTTCCCTCAGTTGTACCTCTTGAAACCTTATACTTCTTTAAAAACCAAACCAAACCCAACCTGATGCTGTCGAGTCAATTCTGATACATAGTGACCCTATAGGACAGAGTAGAACTGCCCCATAGGGTTTCCAAGGAGCGGCTGGTGGATTCAAGCTGCCAACCTTTTGGTTAGCAGCCGTAGCTCTTAACCACTGCACCACCAGGGCTCCTATAAGACCCAGTTAAAAGGTAACTCTTCCAAGAAACAATTCATGGTGCCACTGGCAAAGAGTAATCTTCCCATCTTTTAAATATGCAATGCACCTTATTTTTACCCTGTAACACTTACTAGTCCTACGTGGTATTATGGTAACTTGAACGTATACCTTTAAGGCAGAATAAATTCATACACAACTTAGTACTCCTAAACATCTAGCATAGTGTTTTGCAAATTGCAGGTACAGTATGCAGTCAAAGTTTCTTGAATAAGTAAATGAATGAATGTTGAATTTTGTGCTTTCACTCTAGATGGTTAGTAATAATCGGTGGATGGTTGGCAACAATAAAGAACTGCACTAGACCCCCAAAAACTATTAATAGTAAAGTGTCTCTGACAGAGCAATGCTGAGGAAGCATTCTGAACACCTATTTGGGATTCATTTACTTAAACTACAAAATTAGAGAAGTATTTATGAGGACAATGAAGTTGAAGATGCCTACTTTTATGAACTGAGTCAAATAGTTGTGCTAAGCACAGGTGATTAGAAAAGATCTCTCAACAGATTTTACTTAAATGATGTAACCAAGTATAATGCCTTAGTTATTTCTTTGAAAGTACTTAGCTGTGTTTTATCTCTATGTTTTTTCCCTCCTGGGGGCATTTGACAATCATTTTTCTTTTTATATGGGAAGTCTTCAATAAATGTTAACAATTATTATAAATGCTCATAATAAGTATTTACTTGGAAGTCAAATTGGTGGTTAAAAATCAAACACAGACGTCTACAGGGAAAGGGACAAACGTTGAGGGAGTAAGCCAAACCTAAAACTTCAGAACTTCTCAGAAGACTCTTCAGAACACCTTACTATTAATAAAAGCTGCCCAAAAAAAAGAAATTGTAGAGTAGTAGGGATATTCTTCAACTCCCAGGGCTAGACAGCTAGTTCTCCAAAACGCACTCTCAGCAACAGAATTTAAAGCTAAACCTCAAATATTCAAGTCAAATTATTGCTGTGCTTTTTCAAATGTATAGAATTCAAAATTATTTAGCCAATTTTATCACTAGGACTTGGGAAGGAAAAAGACATATATATATATATATATATGTATATATATATATATATATATATATGTATATGTATATAAAATATATAAAATAGAAATCCTTAATGTAAAAAAATTAAGACTGCATTAATTGTGTGACCTAAAACATTTTACTAAGGATATTAAAAATATAATAAGACTTCCTCATTTCCATATATTTAATTTTAAATAATAACAATTTTTCCCAGCTTTAGGTCTTCTAAGATGTTCTTAGTTGTCTCTGAACTCTTTTCTATAAAGGTACTATCCATTCTTGTCTCACTCTTGTCTCTTATTCTAGCCATAATGCTTTTATGATAATAATTTTATTACTAGCACAAAAGCATTCACGTCTTCATATAAATGACAGAGTTACAAGTTTATAATGATTGGTTTCTCTATGCATTTATATCTAATAAATGATAAAAATGTAAAAGTTAGAAATATTATTTGATGACCATGTCACTAAGCCAACTTTATTTTTGTGTGCTGTTCTTAGAGATTTCTAATAGATTACCTTTTAGAATGTAAGGACACAGTGAGCTCAGCGATTCAGAGAAAGTACGGCAAATTGTCAAAACCTTTGCATCTGCTTTGATGTGGCAGTTCATTTTTGATATATGAATGTAAAATATAAATGTTAATCCAATAGTGAAAAAGTGACTTAAGACTGAATTCTTAACTTGCTTTATCTGTGCCAGACCTGAATTTGAATGACTGTCATTAAAATACTAATTTTTTTCCTTAGTGTTTTGGACAAATGTTATGAAATAGAAATATTATACTAACATTATTGCTACATGTTCCTACAGATGAAAATGATAATATTGAGATAGATACTAACGAGGAGATTCCTGAAGGCTTTGTTGTAGGAGGTGGAGATGAACTTACTAACTTAGAAAATGACCTTGATACTCCTGGTAATTTCAAATTATAAATATTTTGTGTCCTGCTGCATGGCAAACTTGATGGTTTTATTTTTATTTTTATCTCATCAATAAGTTCTTTCTGTGGTTTTATCACATCTGATGTCCTCCCAGATCATTTAGTTAAATCCACCTTCCATCAATTTTATGTTATTTTATTTTAGAGTTAATATTAAAATTAGCAATCAAATTGGAATAGCAAATTGTATTTTGTGTTCTCTTATGACTAAGATTCATTTTTACATTTTATGTTATATGAGACAATTTTTAGGCATTCAGTAGTTGCTTCCCTTTGTCTCAGCCTAAATATTTTGATGTGACCTTGTAAGGTACATGTAAAAAAAAAAACCCGTTGCTGTCGCATCGATTCTGACACATAGCGACCCTATAGGACAGAGTAGAACTGCCCCATAGGGTTTCCAAGGAGCGGCTAGTGGATTCAAACTGCCAATCTTATGGTTAGCAGCTGAACTCTTAACCTCTGCGCCACCAGAGCTCCAGAGTACACATAAACCAGAAAACCAAACCCATTGCCATCGAGTCGATTCCAACTAATAGCAACCCTATAGGACTGAGTAGAACTGCCACATAGGGTTTCCAAGGAGCGCCTGGTGGATTCGAACTGCCGACCTCTTGGTTAGGAGCCGTAGCTCTTAACCACTACCAGGGTTTCCAGAGTACTCACAGAATACCCTAAATGTAAATCTAAACCATAGATTAGATTATCACACTTATTTTAGAGTTGATTGTCATCTTATTTGTAATATTATTTTGCAAATTTTGGGCTTTCTTTAAATATTTAAATATCACTACTAACAAATTATTCTATGCATATTTACACCTGATTACAGCAAAAGGCTTTAGTTGAGAACTCCTTATATAGACTGATGTTAAATTAGTCTTACATCTTATATCAATAAATCAATAAATCTTATATTAGTAAATCACATTGGTAATTGACCTTTGTAAGTTACTGTTTAAAAAACAAAGATATTTGGTGGTGGTTTTTAATTGGTAGTGTTCCATACGCACTGCCTTTATAAGCCAGCAGTGAGTAGCAATCCAAAGCTTTGTATACATGTGGGGTTCCATAAATGCTTATTGAATTGAATTCTTGTAGTAATTAAAAGTCTTTGGTGATCTCTCTAGGCCTAAAGGTAAAGAGGCAAATTCCCTAATATTTTTTTTTCTGGAAAAAATCTAAAGGGAGTAAGAGCAGGCATTCTTTTCCCCAGCCCTTGCAGGCCCTGCAATGCTAACCTGCTTTCTTTCTTCCTCTGAAATCATGCTTTTATTTCTCTAAGAAACTGGACCAGGGTCTTCCTAACCATAAAGAACACTCAAGAAAACCCATTCCCTTTTGTCAATGGCTCCTTCATGGGCCAGTATTAAATTATACTTTTGCTGGAAAGAAGTCAATATATTTATAATCGTGTAAGTCTAAGAGAACACTGATATTTTAGGACATTTTTAAACTGTTTTCCCAAAAATTAGGACTGCTTTCAGTTTTTTCTATTTAAAATACTGTAGAACTTGGGTATGTTTGATTTTTCTTTTTGAAAAAGATTTTTATTGTTGCTTACCAACCCCACTCCACCCCAGCCCCATCCCCACCACCAAAGACTTTATCAGAACCATTAATGTCCTTTACTGCTGAGGATGTCCATAGTGCAGAATTGAAGCCTCATTCAGTTTGAGGAAGTATAAAACCAGTGACAATAAGTGTCCTCATTTTACAGTAGATTACGAAGGCAGGACAAATTAGCCATTTCTTAGATGAGGCAAGGGGAATTTTCTAGTTTCAACTATAGCACCTTCGTAGGATACTTTTAAAGGTTGATTTTTTTTTAAGCCTAATAGGCTTGACTCTTATCCTTTTTTAAAACACTCTTCCTGCTTTATGTATCCCAAAAAAGAAAACACATCTCAGTCTTCCGGTTTGAAGTTAATTAATATATTGTTTACAGCTCTCAAGCACACCAATAAGTGTTGGTATTTGCATAGGACAGGTTTTCCCAGTTCAAATCTATGCTTTATTTCATGGCAATAAGAAACAGGAATGCAAACTGGAATCTGGAAGCACTCAGAATATATTATGATTTTTATCCTTGCTTCATTTTCCTCAAAATTCTTTTTTTAATATGTATATAAAAGTCATAATGTTTTAATAATAAATTGTTTCATCTTTATCTTGATTTCACCATAGTTCATCAGATATTGTTTAAAAGAGAAGCCTGGCAGTATAAACTGACCAATTTGCATGAAAGTCATGATAATAACATTTATTAAGAGTCTTATAATTAGAAAAGTTATTAATCTTTATGAAAAATATTATTCACCAAATGGTTGGCATGTCTTACAATGATTTTATTAAAGTCACTTTGAATGAATTTGTTTAAGTAGAATTTTTCGTGTTTCCATTTGTTTCTAAACTATTTTATTAAAGATGAATGTACTTGCTAAAAATAATTTGAAATTATTTATTTTAAAAGTAATAGCCGCATTTTATTTCTGCCTTCTAAGTAGAAGGTATTTGTAAACATATATACCCAGTTTCAATGCTAGTTATATATGTTCACACATAAACATTGCATTCTAACAGTGTGTACATGATTATCTGGGATCATGTTAGGAAATTGTTTTAATATGATATTGTATTATGAATTTAATATACTAGAATAATCAAAATTGTAAAATAATTTAGAATCAAATGTATCTCCTATTTGAAATGCCTAGTTTGTAATAGCTTGTTTTATTATGTGTAACCTATGCAATTATTTACATAAATACAGACACAGGTTTTCAGGTAAGTATAGCTACTATTAACTATAGTGTAACTGAATTGTCTTTAGTGGGTATATTGACTATATTTTTTAAGGGGGATGATTTTGGAGGAAAATACTTACATGCGTATAAAGAATTCTGGATGTGTCTGGTCTGATATGCCGTCTCACAACCCCAATGTCCTTTTCTTCTTTCTTTTAAAACAGTAATATTTTTATGATGTCACCTAAAATTGATAGCCTATACATTTAAATGCATCTCACTCAGTTATTCATGGTATTTGCATATTTAACAGAACAAAACACTAAGTTGGTAGACTTGAAGCTGAAGAAGCTCCTAGAAGCTCAGCCACAGGTGGCAAATTCTCTCTCCGGTGCTGCCCAGAAAGCTGTAGCCGAGAGCTCAGAGCAAGACATTAAGGTAAATCTTAACTTGTTTAAAATATTTGACTTAGTATCTGTGTAGTCTGATTTCCACTGGTACTTGATAATCCTAAAAATAATTTCTTGCCAAATTCTTCACATTAAGATAAAGGAGTAAATTTTTTGTATTAAATGTCCAATAAATTAGATATCAATATGACAATCAGTATTTGTATACTGTTCTTCAAAGAAACTGCCACTTTAAATTGATTACATTGACATTTCAGATAAAACTAGAAGATATATAGAAACTATTCTTGACTTCTATATATAAGTATGTATTTTGCTAAAAAAAGTATTACCAAGAGAATTCTAGCATATTTTTCTATCATCCTCAACCGGCTACCTGCTTAGATGAACTAGAATTTATGCTGTTTTTAAGAATACATCACACCTGAAGATGGTGATGTGATTGAATATCAGTTTTTAAGATATTTACATGTTTGCAGCCATTATTAATCTTACCTTGGTAGGATTTTATCTAAAATGCCACAATATAAGAATATTATTAATGGTATCATTTTTACTATTTATATGATCGCCAACCAAACCTTCCTCCCTTTTCCTTGCACTGTATCATTAATATTTCTCTAGCTTTAGGGCACTTCCAGTCCTGTATAACTTTTCACCCACCTGCGGACTATGGGGACTGCCCTGCTGACTGAAAGGATTTCCTTCCCCTGACACAGAGATGCTTTGAAGTCCCAAAACAATGACTTTCATTGCTTTTCCCTTATACTGTCGGTTTCTATAAATTGGTGATGAAAGTGTGTGGCAGCACCAGAGGACTTTTGGTCTCTATCTTTGAACAAAGGAAGCCTGGATCAGGTCTGATTTTTTGCGTTCAATTTAGCTTTCTGCAGTGGATTTAATGCAGAATGAAGCTGGCCTAAGAATAATACAATGGATTGAAAAGGCTAACTGAATTAGTGGGTTTAGAGGAATACATTTGTAAAGTGGCAGAAGTCCCTAGTCATAAAAAGGTTTCTTAAGATGGGATTTGCTGGCTAATCGCACTGATATTTAGCATGTTGCCAGGCCTAAAAAAATTTAGCTGTGTTTGTTTATTTTGGTAAAGACTTGAGTTTTAGACTATTGGGCAGTTATTACGATGACAGAAGAATTCACATTTAAATAAATAAACGAAAGCCAAAAATTGTTTCTATCCTAGCTACATAGTATATTGTAAAGATGATGTTAATGATAAATATATGAGATAACTTTTTAAAAAATGATACAGAGGTATTTTTAACTTTATGCGGAAATTGTTTAAGTATGATGAAATTGTTTTTGCTTTCCAAAAAGCTCTTAATGTAGTAATTTTTAAAGTTATTCCAACAAAAGGTGTGCCTTAAACAGCTTGCCTTTAATGGATCTTTTTAGTTAAGATTTTTAAAATGGTATTTATAAAGAACATATAGAGTCCATCTGTTCTCTTGAAGCTTTCAGCATTGATTTGGGTTTTTATTTTTTTAATAAAATGCAGTTTACACGTTTATAAATGAGGCATTCTGTGTTTGTGGAAAAGGATAAACTGTTACCTTCCCTTGAGGATTCTGTATCCCAGGCCTCCTTGAGGCTAGAGAATAGGCCATTGGAGGACTCCCTCATTACTGATTGTCTCAATGCAGAGGAAGGGCAAAGTCTTGGTAGCTTTTGATAACCAGTTTCAGCATTCAGCAGGCTTAGCTATTAGTCATGCATCTTAGCCTTTCCCTATTTACTTTCAAAACACTTAATAAAAATAATAAAAGATTAGGTATAAAATGAAATATTTGTTTGGTACACAGCACCTCGGTATCTGCAGCTTCCACACACTGCAGTGGTTCAGTCTTCTGGGATATTTCTTGTTGATAGAACCATTTGAATTTGTTACCAGTATTAACATAGGAAGCTCTGGAAAAGATAATTGTCGTTTCCTTAGCTGTAAAGGGCTTACTTACAAATCTGGCTTTGGAAAGTTATAGCTGATGAAATTTAGTGCAGTGGGGTAGTATTATAATCCTACCTTTTAGCCTTCATCCAGCATTAGTGGTTTATCTCAATGGGCATAAAATTAGAAACTAGTTCTTCTTGTCATACAAGTCTGTGGGACTGTACAAACCAATAGGGCAGAATAGTAGGGGGAATAGATGGCGGCAACGTGGCTTTTAAATGATACATATCATCAGCAGAAGACAGAAGGGTTCACGACGTCTAATGAATCAAAGTTATCAAGAGTGATCCCCCATTTAAACCATATTCCCCAAAGTTTTAGATTACAAGCAACAGAACTTGTAGTTGAGTTATTCAGAATGCTTTAAAATCCTTTCTCTTTCAAAAAGTTTCTACTTTAGACAATCAGCATTCTCTTAAATCAGTAAAAGTTGCCTACCTATGTGTAATTTCATGTTTCTAAGACCAGGCCTCTCTTACCATTTGATTTTTACTTTTAGAATGGCACAGAAGATCTCCGGGCTGAGCGACGGCAAAAGGCAACAGAACGTTTTAGAAATCCTGTTGTGTTCAGCAAGGATTCTACGGTCAGAAAAACTCAACTTCAGTCTTTCAGTCAATATGTTGAGAATAGACCAGGTAGGAACACTTTTTTAAATGTTTTCCCATCTTATGATTTAAGAGCATTTAACAATATATATATTAAAAAGCTGATAATGTAAATCTACATTTCAATACACAAATATCAAGCTTTATAATAATTTTACATGTCTTTCCCCTTTTCTTAAGAGATGAAACGGCAGAGATCAATACAGGAAGATACAAAGAAAGGAAATGAGGAGAAGGCGGCGTTAACTGAAACTCAGAGGAAGCCATCAGAAGATGAAGTGCTTAATGTATATTAATGTTTTGTGTGGTTTCATGATTGCTGATAATTCCAAACTGTATGTGGAAATAGTGCCTTTATTTGTTAAAATGAGATGTTAGGTTTTTTAAGATGTCAATCTCCGGTGCATTCAAAGCAGAGTGAGAGGGGTGCACTGTTGAATTAGTCTGCAGTGTGGTGATAATTGTCAGATTAAAAAAAAATGAATTTTTCAGAGTTCCACAGCCCCAGCTTCCTTGAGACATTTCCATCAGGGCACTTCCCATAAAGAGATTCCAGTATTGATCTACCGGGAAGATTTTAATTATTACAATAGCAGATACCGCAGAGCTGCAGTTAGAGGGAAAAGTCACATGAGACCTGCTAGAATTTCTCAGCCAACCCATTTTGTTGGCTTGGGTTAATGGGTGTTCAACCTTTCCATTATCCAGATCAGCTGTGAATTACTAGCTGAATGATGTTTGCATTAATATAATATATATGGTAATTTCTTCACTTAATTAACGGGGAGGTTCAGCTCAGTAGGGGTATGGGCTGATCATGTGTAAAATTGATTTGTGAGGGAAATATTTGATAGACCGCAGGGAGAAAGCTGCTTTTGATGGACAGCTGCGGGACAGAAGCAGGAAGAACAACTTTTAACTTGAATTTTTGTCTGGAAGTGTAGCTCTCTTTAATGGTGCTACTTTTTTATTATCTATAGTGTGTCTAAATATTTTCATTGTTTTTACTGTTAAAATAACCTTCGGTGAATTTTAAAATCCTTATCAATGCACTGAGAGTTACCAGATACATTTTAGAGCTCTTCATTTTTGTTGTTCATTTTGGAAGCCCTGGAACGGTGTTAGTACAGAGAACAGCTCACTGGTGTATCCTGGTGAAGTATTTGGTACAACTTATAAGTTACAGAATACTTGAGTATGCTATATACTCAAACTAAAGAAATCTGATTATAAAATTTGTTGCTATTTTTAACTGAACTAATCAGTAAAAGCAATGAAGTTTGTGTGTTCCTTATGACTTCTACTTTCTTGTATCTTTGTTACTCACATACTATCTTTGTAAGCTGCCATATCTGTTTTATACTTCTGGATGTGAATGAGAAAAGAAAAAGCCCCTTTTGAAAATGCTCTGCTATTTGGCAGATAGGTACAAAAAGCATTCACCAGATTATTCCAGGTTTTAAAGATACCGTTAGCATTTATTCTATTACATTTTTTCTGTTATATTTTGTATTTAGAAGGAAGAGTATCCGTTTTGTAGGAATGTTTAAAAAATACAGTGAGTTATTTTATCAAACCATTTGGAGAAATTATCAGTGTTACAATGAATACATTTCAACCTTAAGTTCATCAACTGCCATAATCAATTTAATAATAAGTTAGTATAGATTGAGTTCACATGTGAATGCAAACTATTTACTAGTTCCTAAGGTATATAAGCTATACATTCTGTTAGATATCTACTTATTGATCATGAGAATTCCAAAATATGTTCATAACCAACATACTTCTTAAATATGTTTCTTGTTTAAGGAGTACTAGAAAATAATTTCTCATGGCTTCTTAGAGATTAATCTTCTTCTAGGTAGGGAAAGGATTTGACAGAAGAGGATGGCTCACGTGTACTTACCTGAATACTGTTCTCAGTGCTGATGGCAGTAATGGTGGTGGTGAGAGGAACCATCTCAGCAGTTCCTCAGTATTTCCCACCACTTAGGTCTCTTAGCCGCAGAAATGGCTTCAGGTAAACAGGTGTGCCCAAGGGAGCTATAATTCATCCACTTCTGTGACTATTCCATAAATAATAACCCTTCCTTAAATTTGTTAGTGTGCAAATAAGAACTAAGGCTATCCTGACACTTTAAAATGGAGCTGCTACTTCAAAGAAAACTTCTAAAGATAATTTTTTATTATTTTTTTTACTTCAATAGTTATAAAAAGTAAATTTTCAAATTGAAATTCAAATTTGGTTAAATGGAAGATTAACCAGATCAGTGTACTAATTATATTAGCTCCCGTGTGGCAAAGTTTGAAACCACCTGTCAAGTTAGAATTCATAGCTACAATAATTGGTAATACATCAGCAGAACAATACGTTAAAGGGAGGGAAAACTGGAGATATTACCTTTTTCTAGTATCTTAAACAATAAAATCACTAAGAAAACAATTTTTTTTTTTAAATTTTGTAGTTTTGGAAGAACAAATCCACACTGTAATCTGATTTTTTCAGGATGGATACTTTGAGAATTAATTTCTTAGTAAAACTCTATGTTTGTATATTACACTTTAGAATTAAAGGTGTCATTAGTGTTTGTTTTGACAATCGCCAAGGAGAAAATTCCCTTCTATCCTTATTAATGCTTAAAAAACTCTGACTTAACTCTAAGGATAATTTTTTAAAAGTTAATATTAACTTTTTCAACCTGGTTAATCTGGGTGTTAAATTATAAATAGAACACTAAAGGGCTGAAATTTTCTCTACTTAGAAAAGTTTTGCTATACAAAAAACATATGAAAGATTGTTGAATCATTGGCAGTTGGTTTTTGGTACCGGGGTGGTATTTGGTTCTCCAGGTAAGTGCTTTACTAAGTGTTTACAGAAAGGAAAACTGCAACTTACAAGTGATTTTTTTTTTCCTTCCTGTTTGTTCTCCTTAACAGAAAGGGTTCAAAGACACCAGTCAGTATGTTGTAGGAGAATTGGCAGCACTAGAGAACGAGCAAAAGCAAATTGACACCCGTGCCGCGCTGGTGGAGAAGCGCCTTCGCTATCTCATGGACACAGGTACGGTGCCCAATTACACTGTAAACAGTTTTGGCAAATTGAGCGTTCACAAACTCTTATAGAGTTTTGGAAGTGTGAATCTTTGAAGCCTGAATGTTCAGCAAAACTGCCTGGAAAATAAAAAGGTTGTGATTTGCAGCCACCTCTCTGGGCCCTGGTGATAAGAGTGCTTTCATGGGAAGTGATAACTTGCCCTGATACCGTGTGAGCCAGCACTATTGAACAGTGTGCTCATCCATGCAGAGTTGGAATACACATCTGTGCCTCATTGATATGCCACTGCTTAAAAAAAAAGTAAGATCTTCACTGTTCTACTGATTCATTGGGAAAAAAAAAAGATTTGGCCGGCTAAAGCCATGTACTGCATGAAACAGAGCACTGTGCATGGGGGATGGCGCCATGGACTAGATCACTGAAATTTGAGAATACTATCTGGTTACTGATGCTCCACAATTTTTTTTTTTTTTCAAGACGACAGGTTTTTAAAAGTCTGTAATACTTTGTGTCACAGTTGCATTTGACAGGATTAAGGTATATAGCAAGATTTGTAAAAATGAGTTAGAACAGTAAGTTAGCTCCTAACCAGAGGTAGACTGGCATTTCGTGCTGATTACCAATGGTGACTGAACAGATCTAAACACACAGTAAGCTACTGGGAAGGAGCAGTTTCTGTGTTCGTACGTGTATATGTATGTTTATAGTTATTTAAAATGCTGCTCCTGCAAAAGGGCAAAAATGAAGAATGACTTCAAATAACTCATACCAAATTGAAAGTAAGTTATATTAAGAAAAAAGGTCAAAAAATGAAACCGTAGAAAATCCATTTCTTTAATTAATTGCTTTCATCTTATGATAGCATTAAAATAGAATAGTGTATGAATAAGGATTGAAAATCTTTCCTGAACTTTTTATTCTCTATTTGCCAAAAATATATTTACAATAAAAGAACCCCTCTAAAAATAAGCATCTATATGGGACATTTGAAAATGCATACATTGGTGAAATCAGAGCATATTAGAACAGGAAGGGACCTCAGGCTTAATCTGGTCCAGTGGATTTCAAACTGTGTTCTGTGGAGCCCTAAAGCTTCTTCAGAGGCACCTCAGGGGTGGCCAGGACAATAAAGGAACAGAGAGCAAGCTGGCCTCTGGATTCCTTACCTTCACTTCAAGCAGAGTAGCCCTGAGTTTATTTTAAATAGCGGGCCTCTTGGAAGAGTTCATTTGAAGAAAAGGTTCTACTGCTTAAAATTTAAAACCAAAAAAGAAAAACCTTTTTTCTTTTTTTTTTTTTAAGCTATTACCTAACCCTCTGATTAAACAGATGAGGAGACAGAGGCACAGGAAATGCTCAAAGTCACACAGATCAGTAAGTGGCAGACACAGGACTGGAATTCAGGTCACCTGACCCCCATCATACGGAAGCTTTCTCACTATACCAGATAATCTAAAGCACTGTGTATTGTTCCCCTAGCAGGTTACATGTGTGTTCAATCTTGTGCTTATTCATTTATGTGGATTCAACAGGTGTCCGTAAACCAACATATTGTTTCACATTTGAATTTTTCCTCTGGTTCCTAAGGGAGTTTGAAAATATTAGCTATATAGAAAATGTAAATGCTACGTAGCATAATTTCTGTTAGTAAAGGGGAGAATACAGTAAAAGCAGAAACAAGAACTCAGCATTACTGTCTGGAGTTATTTTTCAAAGGAATATGCACTTCTACTCATCTTATTCTAAACGAGCTGTAAAGGAATAGGTGTTCTTATATGTCGTTGTTAGCTGCCGTCGAGTCGATTCCGACTCCTGGTGACCCCCTGTGTACAGAGTAGAACTGCTCCATAGGGTTTTCAAGGCTGTAACCTTTTAGAAGCAGATCGCCAGGCCTGTCTTTCGGGGCGCCTCTGGGTGGGTTCAAACCACCAACCTATCCCCTAGTAGTTGAGCACTCAACCATTTGATATATAGTCACAATGAAGATAATGAATCATCAAGAAAAGGTTAGTGAGCATCTAGTATGTTGTTGAAAAGCCAAGAAAGTATGTAATATAATTTTTAATGATTTTCTTTAAATATTTTAAAGGGACAAATTATTTTTTCCCCACAAATTCTTTTAAGCAGAGCATCTTCCCTGATTGTGTTGGATGAATTTGAAGCCTGTGCCACTAGAGTAAAAGCTAAAAATTTTGTTTCCTTTCCTTCTTTCCCACGTGGAGTTTGATTTATTGAAGGTTCTAACTAAAATAGACGCAAGTTTTTCTTCCCACCCTACCCATCACTAGTGAAGCTTTGAAGTGACCCCATTCCAACTATAGATCATTTATAATCTGAAAGACAGCCATAGCTACAGACTGATTCCAGAATCCCATTGAGGTTTTATATTCCTTGCTACACAGGACAGAATCTGATCTAGACTGGGTCTGCCCTACTGCAGATTCAGACCAAAACTGACTTGGTGTCCCCCAACTTGGTAAGCCCCAAGAGTCACCCTGGACTGTATCAAACCACCTCTAGCCCAAACTCAGTCTCCTGAGATTTACCTGATACCTTGTTAATCTCTGAGGTAAAAGATGATAGAAGGGAAAAGCATCTATTCATCGTTTTCCTTTTTGTTTTTCAGTACATTCCAACCTTTCATTTATTGTAACAGTTAATACCTTTTCTGGGCTATGTTAGAGTTTTCAGTGTACTTTTCTGAATCTCCTAACTGCCTCAGAATTAAGCAGAGCAGATAGTATCCATATTCTCTACATGAGGAAACAGGCTCAGATAAGGGAAATCATCCATTTAAGATGGCCCAATTAGTAATGGCTGAGGTAGGGCTTGAAGCTGGATTTTTAAGTTTTCAGGCTCTTTTTCTCTTTCCCAACCATATTTTATATATGGAACAAATGTATTTTATCTGATATTTCCATTTTTATATACTTGTAGACAACTATCTTGTAGATACCATGCTCAGTTTTTTCAGCTGAGGTGAAATTCACATAAAATTAACCATTTCAAAGTATACAATTCGGTAGCATTTAGTATATTCACAGGGTTGTGCAACTGACATCTCTTTCTAGTTCCAAAATAGTTTCATTGTCCCAAAAGAATACCCTTTACCCACTTAGGTGTCACTCCTCCATTTTCCCCTCTGACATCCTCTGGAAATTGCTAATCTGCTTTCTGTTTCTATGGATTTGCCTATTCTGGTCATTTCATATAATTGGACTCATACAGTATATGGCCTTATGTGTCTGTCTTATTTCACTTAACATAATGTTTTCAAAGTTCATCCATATTATAACATGTGTCAGATCTCCGTTCTTTTTTATGACTGAATAATATTCCATTGTGTGTGTGTGTGTGTGTGTGTGTGTGTGTGTGTATCACATTTTGCCTGTCTATGCATCCACTGACAGATACCTGGGCTGTTTCCATCTTTTGGCTACTATGAATAATGCTGCAATGAACATTGGTGTACAAATATCTGTTTGAGTCCTCATTTCAGTTCTTGGGGTATATACCTAGGAGTAGAATTGCTGGGTCATATGGTAATTCTATGTTTAGCTTTTGAAGGAACTGTACTCAATTTTAAATGAGTTAGGAAGTTTGTTTAGAAGTTGATTTTGTGGAATTCAGAATGCATTTTCCAAGAGAAACACTGTTGTAAGTATCCACAAGCCAGGCAAGCCCACGAAACTGTTTAATTTAGAATATAACTTAAATACACTAATAGTTTTTGACCTGAGTCTTAGGTTCCCAGAGCTTGAGTAACTCAGGGTTTTAAGCACCAACCCCTCTAAGACTAAAGCTCCTATATCCTGAGGGGGAGGAGGTTGAAGCCCAGATGGTGGCCCAGACTGCTGGGCATTTTTCTGGCATGTTGGGAGAAGACTCTAGCAAGAAAGAAGGGAAGGAATGTAAGAGAGAGCCTATGTGGGTCCTGCAACAAGATGGGGAGGTGCCAGGCATGAGAATGGCAGTGGAGGGCATCACTGGCAGACAGAGCTGCAGTGGGGATTTGTACATTTCAGTCCTTCCTAAATTGACTAATCCTAAATCAGTGATGGTCTGAGTATTAAATGACAATACTCTGTGAGAGTGTGTGTGTGTGTGTGTGTGTGTGTGTGTGTGTGTGTGTGTGTGTGTGTGTGTGTGTGTGTGTGTGTGTGTGTGTGTCTTTTTACCATGCTCACAAGGCATATTATTTCCTGCCATCTCACCATGGGACCTGTAAGATTCTTATGCAAATATCAGAGAATATTTTTTTCTATCAGCTCTTAATGGCTTTTTTTTTTTAGCTTGTGATTTTTGTTGAGAAGGAATTTCTCTAAGTTTCTAACATCTAAAGTTTGTAATGATTACTTCCTTGGGAACAGTAAAACTTACTAGTTGGAAACATGTATGTGTTTCAAGCTGACATGTTTATGGAAGTGTAACATTGGCTGGATCTTTCCCGGCAATATTGTACCCTTGAAAAAATGGAGTTTATAATGAAAATGTTATGAGCTGTTTTACTATAGTGCTGCATATAGTCTTATTATAACGCATGGTATTTCTTTTCCATTTCCAACCTGTTTTCATTTGATGATCATCAGACTTATACTGTAGTGTTTTAAACTAATGGTTTGGCAAAGGAAAAAAAAACTAGTATTTTATTTACATTTTGAGTGTAAAAATTAAACATTCAGGTGGGAAATTTACAATAAAACACATCTTGCAACTTCATAACTTTTAAGCACTGAATGAAATGATCATGCTAGCATCCGAGTCCCTGGGTCAAAAATACTAATTCTATAGCTTTTTATAGACTATCCACACCAAAATCCTAACTGACAATTTAAAAATTTTAAATACACTTGAGGAAAACCTTTTCTACACATTCCTTGGAATGTTTCCTTTCCCCATCCTTTGAGGAACCAAGCATAGTATTAAAGCTACTTTAAAGCAGAAAATTGGGCCCACGAGAAAATAAAAATAAAGTCTGCAGTTGTTGTTAATGGGAACTTTCTCCT